ATCCAAACAATGTTGTTGACCTAATGCTCTTCCAGTTATATTGCCATGTTGCATCTAACCCCAATGGAAACGCAGCATCCAGACGACTTTCTACAAGACCAGACGACTTAACACAAGTGCTAGTAGGATACCAGGGGACCAGCGGACCACAGGACCAGAGGACCAGGAGACCGGAGGACTAGGGACCAGTGGACTAAAGGACCAAGGGACCAGGGGACCAAAGGACCAGTGGACCAGAGGACCAAGGGACCACATTACCAGAGGACCCGCAAACCACAAGGCCAGGAGAGCAGCAGAAAAGGCCTATCAAGGAATATTCTGTTTTGATTCGTTTTTTTTGATACTGTTTTGTTTTTTTTTGATGCTCTTTTTATTTTTGTTTGATACCTATGCCTACTTTGAGAGCCTGAAACAGGATTTCTTTATATTTCTTTGCAACCAATCCGGGATCCTACCCCATTGTTCTTAGCGCAGGAGCCCGTCAAAACGTACGTTCTGCAATGGTCCTGGTTCTCTGAACTCCTTTACCTCGTCTTCACCCAAACAAAGGAACCAAGAAATCAAACGCCGTGTCAAGCATAACGGGACACCAACTACCAAGGACATGTCATTTGCTGTTCTTTCTCCTTGCAAGTGTCGTGGAGGTCCCTTCATCCAGTGCTGGGTCAAAACTAGTAATTCTCTAACATATCACACCTCCACTGACACTTCACTAAACACAATAATACCCAAAAAACTGAAGCAAGTCCAATGGAATACCAAATCAAAATAATCAAACAAATCACTGGTCATTTCATGTCACTTCCACCCCCCACATGACATGGCCACTTCTTCATGTTCAAGGCACCCATGCTTCAGCTCCACCGCACGTCGGCGCTTGAAGGTCTCGACGTCGCCGTCGGCGGACAGGCCCAAGGGATCCCAAAAGCCCACCTTGGCCGCTGCGAGGCTTGGCTCCAACTAAGCGAGATGGCCTTTTATGGACCCGAAAAAGGACATCTAAAGACCGGGATGAGAGAGGATGAGCAAACCTGGGAAGTCTTCAAGGTGGCAAATGCATTATCTAGTACTGTAATGATAGATCCAGAACAATGACACACAGGCCCATGTTCCACTTCATGTTGAATTTGTAGATACTTGACGACATTGGCATTTGCTGGTAATCGACGGGCCACGTCCTCAAAGTAAAAGAAGTCAAGACCACTCATACATCCGGCACATGTATCCCCCATAGCCCCAACAAAATGACAACACATGTTGTTTTCGTTTTTTCGGAGACTAGTTTTGGTATACGTATGGTGCAAGCAATGTATCATCGTTGGTTACTGGAAGTATTGGACATTTGTTGCTTTTAGTCGGGCTTCGCTCTTCCCAACCACCTCCCGCAAAAAAAAGTACAGTACATCACGTGCCGCACGTGTCACGTGTCACGTCGGTGTTGCTTCACGTCGGTCCTGACGCCAAGGGGCGGGCGCTTGAACGCCCAGCTCTCCCTCGAAGGCCCTCAGCGGGGAGTCCGTGTAGTTGGCCCAGTCGCCCCAAGCAGAGCCCGTGAGGCCGTCCTGGAAGAACATGCCTCGAAGAAAGCGAAGGAAGTGGCTGGGATGGAGTCTGAATGACTCTATGGATGAATCTAAGGATGTATATTGGTCAATACTGATACTGTAGATGTATCAAGAATACTGTGTATACATATATATGTATATACATGGAAGGAAACTAGATCGCTGACAACGAACGTGAGTGAGTGTGAGCTCCCGTGAATACATCACTCAGAAAATACTTGCAGCATCAGAGATGGGACGTCGTGTCATGGGTATCTACTTCTGAAAGACTTTACATCTAGCATCAGCGTGTGTGGAGTGCTGATGGGTGAATGGTAGATAATTGTTTGGGTTGATGATGAGTACGTAGTTCGCTGCATCCATGGAATGAAATAACATACCTTGGCGCTCAACAAGCTTAACACTTGTCTGTAAGCCCTAGGGACAGTAGGGAACATCCTATCGATTTATCAACCATGTTCTCCGTCACCAACCTGAACACCTTGCCTGTTGAACCCATCTCCTGCCCTTGTGGATCCTTACCGTGCATTTCAGCAAAAGGAACCGTCCAAACAATGCGGGATTGGTTGCATGAGGCTGTTATGGCATCTGTTTCCTTCTCCATGTTGGGAAGAACATTCTTGTTGAAGGATTTCTGGATAACAACATTTTTTTGTTTGCAACTGTTCATTTTATTGAATCAATCTTGTTCACATTCACGTTCGAAATCGGAACCCGCTTTCCTCCGCACGGCCGGTTCCGCTCCAGCCCAGGTACCGATGATGGCCATCATGGCCAAACGTCCGTTGGCCAACTCGGCCGAGAGCTTCTTCTTGCGGACCTGGCGACTGGGATTGGATTCTCTGGTCAAGCATTCTCCGCCAGGTCAGTCCAGCTGGGTGGGATTGAATCCATGAATCCCTCAAAGACTGATGTCCTCTGTAAAACAGTAGTAAACAAAATGTTCTGCATAATATATACTGTATACATTATACAAATGCGTATCTACTGCTTGTGTATATGCTTGTGTCATTGGTTGTCGGTGTCATGTCGTCTAAAAAACATGGAGACTGTAGCCTGTATTGCTGGTCTATGCCATCTAAGCCTAAGAACCTTTCCAGAAGAAAAAGTCAGTAAAATAGAACAACATATTTATCAGAAATGAACTGAAATGAACTAGGGTTTTCGCACCGCCAAAGTGGATGATGATGATAATGATGATGATGATGATGCCAGCTCATAAATCCAGCCTGACTCCTCTTATGAAGTAGGAAGCAGTACTGTGATATGCATACCTCACGTATTTTTATAAAAAGGTTTGCGTCGCAACTGGTGCTTTATCCGATCACCTTCACTCAAACCTCCTGAACCTACGAATATACATGTCCTACATACCACCGCTTGCTTGACCTGGACCTTGGCATTGACATGAACAATAAGTCCAACGCACATTGACAGAGCACTTTGCCAACTGACTTGTACCTCTTCTATGGCAAAGCTTCTAGCTGGCTTGAAAACTGCCTTATAGTCCAAGCACATCTCACGGTACACCTCAACCACAAACCCAGATGCTGCCTGGCTACTTGGATGTGCCTGCCATTGCACTCAACCACCCGGTTCCCAAGTGTTTGATGCTTTCGCGCACGCAATTAATCAGTCGACTCAGGGTGACAGCTCCTTCTCCCCAAATTAACAGTCGGCCGCAGTCCTTTTTTGGCCATCGCCGCTGTGGCTCATCGTGGGGGGGGCTGATTTACCCCAGCTGATGCAGCAACTCAGTTGAGTTTCAAATCCGCATCAATCTCACGTTGCGACAACTGTCTCTCTCATGATGTTCCCAACCTCTGGGCTCTTCATCGAAAGCAAACCTGAGCTCATCCGACAGCGCAGGTTCTTGGCGGCACTTGGTGGCACTGTGCTCCTCAACGATCAGGTGGAGTGGAATCGAGCTTCTGGTGGGCAGAGATCACCTCGGCATCCATCTTGCCCAAGAGCATCATCCAAACCTGAGCCATAAGAGATGAACTCACCCCCGAGACCTGCTACCCCTCCATCCTGCTACAAAACCCAACCGTGCCAAATCTCGGTGTTCAAAAACCTTTTTTGGAGATACCACGTGTCCCAACATTGAAGATGATGCAGTATGTTGTTGAGTCATTCATCTACAAAAAATCATCAAACAGGGTGTTTGCCAAGTCCCATTTCTGAGAGACACAAGATCTCTTCTCATCTCCCTCGTCTCTCATTGTATCTGGTCAAGAGGCCATGACCCAATCGCCTCGAAAGGAGTACCTTGGTCACAGCAAAGACGCCATGGAGGGATGCCAAAAACATCATTGGAATTTGCTGGTGTGAAAAAATGAGAATGGTTATGGTTGTCGTATAAATCGTATTGCGTTCCTTGAACATGAAGGTTTGAACAACAAACTCCTTTAAGTCGCTATAGACGAATTCATCATTCATAGACCCGCGTGCCCAAAAACTCACTTGATTGTTCACAACACGAGCTACGTGGGATACTTAAAGCTCGCCGGCTTGTTGTGCTCGACGAAGAAGTGGCCAATCCAAGCGCACCCATAGCCAATCAAGGGACAAAGGGCCAAGCGACGCTTCTCAGCACCAGTGAGGAGTGTGTGAAGTAGCAAGAAAAGACCTGAACAGGGCATGCAGCAAAGTAGAAAACGTTTGAGTTGGCATCAAAGACCCTCTACAGGGCTGATTTCAATGGACCATGGCCGCTAGGTGATTGCTGCGACAGACAAGCAACATCAGCTGACCTAGTGCTTCAAGGATTTCAATTGTCTCAAGATTTGCTGCATCAACAAATTGATTGCCTACATGTACAACTCGCAATAGTAACCCCCCTGGGCAAACTCCAAAACATTTACAATTCTCCCATTTTTCATCATTGTCACGTCATCTGAGCGAGTGTGTCACTGAAATCAACCAACTTCAGCTTGCCTGTGAGGCTTCCACAGAAATGCATCCATCGGTTCGTGGGATTGGTGTGCTCTCTGCAATAGTATGGCCTGAAAAATAAACTAGATTAGTGCAAATCAAAAAACGAAAGCATCTGGTTATGATGTCAATGTGCTAACGTACATATGGTTCAACAAATAAATGGTTCAGTAAATATATAAAAATATAATATATATAATATAACTCACAAGTCCAATCCCCTGCAAGCAGTGACTGGATAGCAAGTCGGGACATGTCCGGACAACAGCCAGATCAGACAGTGGAAACGAACCTGGCTGGTGAAGGATTTCTCCTTTCACAGGAGTCCCACTTCCACGAGGGACGAAAAGAACATGGAAAGCTTGGATGAAGCATTGAGTGAAGCATTGCCTCCAAGTTGCCAAAATTCGCGAAAGCTGGCAATACCATCCGGAAGTGGATAGGAGGTTCGCGCCATGGTTTACACAAGGGTGTGAACTACTGCACAAGGCAAGTGAGTCATCTATTGCCATGTGAGTGGTGCTCTTGACCATGAAGTTTTTCCATGAGCGATGAATGTCTGTCGCTGAATGGCCATTACAAGCAAATGTGTGGATCACCACTGAGTCATAATTTCTCTACAAGTCATGGATACCTGGGATATTAAGCAGTGATGTCTGCGATCGTAAATCTGCACTTGGACCCTGAAATCAAGGCCCCCTCTAGGCTGAATGGTCTGGGTACTTTTAGGGGCTAACGAATAGATTGCATTTTTGCCTCTGCACAAGTAGATGGAAATGGAGGGTTGAATTGCTCTTGCCGGGACCCATGTGTTGTTCGAGACTGCCATCTGTGTTCCTGAAAAGCCGGGGTGGTTTCAGCAACGCTCATCGGCATTGGTAAAGGGGTTGTGGGAAACAAAATTTGCACCCAAGGCCACGAGGACATGGAACCGGTCTCCCCGTTCATTTATTGTCTTTCTTGCAATGCTTTTGAGCTCTATTTGCAGTGTATGCCATCCACATGGTTCACATTTCTGTTGTGCGGGGTAGATGGCATGGAAGTGGCCTAGACCACAAAAGGATAGCATATCATAGGCTCCCTCCTCATGCCATCAATTCGTTAGCCCCTATAAATATTCCTGACAAAAAAAGAGACTACACGGCCCTTAAAACCCCTTCCAACGAAAACACAAAAAGCATAGACGCTCCTCCCACCCAGCCATGGAGTTGGATGAACCCCCATCTGCCTTGCCCTTCTTATGCCCCAAAACAAAAAACACAACCTCATCAGAAACGACCGACCAGCACAAACAACGGGATAGCCCGGGCGGTTTCTCTTTTGCGCCTCAGGGTCTGCCACGGAGGGAAAGAAGCCCAAGCCCAGGTTGCCCTTGCCTCAGCGAAAGCTTGGACTGGCACAAAAGCTTGGAAAGGCCCGCCGAACAGGTCGCCGAAACCGGCAGCCTGTTCGGTCCGATTCCGACCGGATGACCCGCGCAGCGCTCGACGTCATTCAGGTTGTTCAGCTACGAAAGTCATATGACGAACATGGATATTGGTGCATCTGCGAAATCGTATCTTCCCTCCCAGGTACAGCGATCAGGCAGCTGAAGGTTGGTTTTGGTTCAAAAGATCAATGCAGGACCATGACGTAAATATCATCCATTAGAGCTGCACTACTCCATGCACTCTTGGGACGTACGTGGGTGGTTATAGGCTTTGAGCCTGATGCCCTAATATCCAGGGAAAACATCATAGTTTCTACTTAAAAACAATTGATCTACTTCGGAAAATCGTATATCCTGAACTTATGCTTTTTGGATGTTTGCCAACAGAAGTTGTCTTTGTCCTGAATTAAACGGAGCAAATCCGGGTGCGGGTATATCCATCCATCTGTTGAAGGAGGGTTAGTCCTACATAATTGAACATCAAACCAACATGTAACATGTAATATGACTCACTCTTGAACATCTGAAGACATGCTTTGAGACCTACATAGTACTCAATGGTTGCAAACAACAATGTCTCTTGCAACCCACATAAAAATCACTGTCCGCTGTCCGAAATCTAAACTCCACATTGCCAACAGCCAAGTATTGCCAACCTCCACAGTGTTCAAACGGTTGTCCACCATTGTCCACCAGGACTGGTGGACTAGCCGGAGGGGCCGTAGTTGCCAGGCTCATCGCCCACTGGCTTGTTAATGAAGAGCTCATAGGTTCCCAGGAAGGCAACGATCTGAGCCCAGCCCTGTCCTGCAGATGGGCACGGGACACATGGAGTCACATGGAGCGCCGATGCCGCCGAGCCAGCAGGCTTCCAACACGTCAACAGGGACCTGCCGGTTGGCAATGGGTATCTTATAATATCAATATAATATATAAATATATACAGTATATACTCGTATGTCGATAACCTGGTTCTGAGGTGTTCCTGACACAGCTCCAAATCGACCCCCCTCTCTACCTCTCTCCACCCAAAAGGTCTCCATTCTTCACCTGCCTGGCACTTTGGTCAGTGCTGCTAAGCCGTTGGGAATCGATTCAAAGCTCAAGCCCATCTTGGGAGACAAATCCTCGGGTTCCGAGACACGTCCGACGCTCCGTCGGTCCGGGTGGGGTGTGACAGGGACGTCCCACGTCCGGTCTGCGAACGACGATATACTACGATCGGAGTGAGGTTGGATGCCACAAAAGCCAAGGAACAAGCGGACATGTCAGGCGGTTTAACTCCAAAGGATAGTGATTACATGGGATTACTATATATGTATGTTTTATGCATACTGACAATGACGCACGTCTGAGTCTCCAAGATAAACCTTATTTATTTGGGATGGAGTCTCCAACTGTTGGGGGAGCGACAACCTCCGACCCCGACCTGAACAGGACGGGGTCGGTACTCTGAACACCTGACACTTCTGACCACTCAAAGGCAGTGCTGAAAATCAACGAACTTGAGCCGTGCTATGACTCAACCACCAAACCGGTCTCTACACCTCACTACTTCAGTCTTTTTTTCAGGTGATGAACCCTATGAGATCCTATGAGTGAGGCATCCACTGCCCAGGAGATCAAAACTGCTCATTGTTCAAATCTCTTTCTATTTCCGTCAAAAATGCCTTGCCCATGCCACTCAAGTGATGCATCCCAGATGCCCCAGGAAAGCGGAAGTACTCGGGCACGATGTAACCTCGCGTCAACCCGCAGTCAGAGTCGGGAGCTTTGGAGTCCATGCAGGTCATGTCTTGCCTTAAAACTGTGCCTCGAAGAGCATGAGTCTGTAATGTGTGTTGGTAGAAATTGGGTCATTGGGTCTATGTTGACGTGTCGAGATATCATGATATGTCATGATATTAATATCTATGTCAACCACACGTCTATGTGAATTTGAGTCTGGAAGGAGGCTTGCAAATGGGCATGGGTATCATGGTAAAACACAAAAAGCTTGTGCTCAGCTTCTTCTTACTCTGAACCAAATCTATATTCTTATGGGGCAGCTGTAGACACTCGCATTTTGTTACAATGTTGCTTTGAATGCATGGAGTGTTCGCTTCAGCGCATGGTCGTGAGCCACCCGAATGTAGCCCAGAGCTACCCAAAGCTAGCCTTGGCATTGTTATTCTTGATGGAAATGGTAGCTAAAGTTTATTACACTGTGCAATTGTATGGCCTGTACTTCCCCATCCAAGCCCAGGCGGCTGGTACTCCATCCGGGCCAAGTGACCCATGCAGGCGTACATGGCAATGCGGCCGTGCTTGATCTCGACCTCACGGCCTCAAAAAGAAGGAGCTGAGCCTTGTGTGACCTGAGCGACCTGAGCACCTGGTAGAAAAACTCTATAGAGTACTGGTTGGATGAGGATGGGGTTAACAATGAATGATCATGACATGGTGACATTCTGTGATCTTGGATGTCTTTACACCTCGTGGACTCATGAACTAAAAATGTTTCAAAACCACGAATGACTTGATGCATTTGGTTGAACCGACACAACCTTGGCAAACGAATCCACAGTTGTTGGCATGTTCCGAAAGGAACGTCGTTCATCAAACCACCCAAATGGGTACTATTTGCTACACAAATCACAAAACAGATCCAAAGGATCCATTGCAGAAGCTCCTCAGAATCTCACCAAGCCACTTCCTATCACTTCCTCCCTTCTCTCCCTCGTCGGTCCAAGCTACGTCGCTTGAAGACGTCAAGGTCACCATCCGCGGAGAGGCCCAAGGGGTCCCAGAAGCCCACGGGTGGCTGCACGCCCAACTCGCCTTCGCGTGCGTTCAGGCGCTCCGCTCTCGCGTTTATCGGGTGGCGGGTGTGTAGCGGAGTCGCCCAAAACGGTTTACAAGAAGTGCAAGAACCGAATGATGTTCCAATGTCCCGGCTCAGGGGAGCGGACGTTGAAAATCCCCTTAGGGTGTTGGTGGAGGTTCTTTTCATGACCCGTTTGCACCCATTCATGCAAAACTCGGCTTCAAAGGTTTACTAAAACCTTTTGAACTTTACTTGTTTGGCTCAAATGCGCGAGACTGGCGTTGCTGCGCCGTGCTTTCGGTTGCGAGTGTTTTTTTTTTGTGTTCTGTTGGTCCTGGAATGACCTGCAACAGCATGGGGATGCTGACCTGTCAATCCTTCGACTGGAACAAATCACCGTGACACCACCGGAATGGTGTGTGGCTTTGTGGCTCAAACTATATAACAAAACGGAGAAAACGGTTAGAAACAAAAACAACAAACGATAGAAACCAAAACCCAGTAGAAACAAACTATTGGTAGAAGGGAGGCCTTGCTCTTTGCCCCTCCTGTGGTTCACTGATCCAGTAATCTATTTTCTTGGAGCTTGTGGTCTCCTTTGCCAGCTACGATTGACCTCGAATGCTTGTGCGTGATACTGAACGTGTAACAAAGCAGTCAGGAGCCAAACTGCAGTCCGACTTTGCAGGATGCTTGCAAAGGACGTGTGTGGCCCTGTTCCCTCAGGGTGTAACATTCCCACCCACAGCCTAACATCTCCACATCCAGCAAGCAACTCCAAAGATGTCACAAGAAATTCCAGCATCTTCTTGGACATCCCATATATGTGATGGACAAACATCTCTGGCGACCGAGGGACCTCTTGGGGATGGTCAGGGGAGATAGCCCACCAAAACCGTAGATGTTGTCCAAGCATGTCCAAGCCTCATATGGCGCACCCATTTCACACCTGGCCTGGAGCCTAACCGACCCAATTGAATCTCATTTGGCGGTCGACTGCGCATGGCCACACCGTGCCTTCGAAGGCCCGCAAGGGCGAATCAGTGTAGTTGGCCCAGTCACCCCAGGCGGAGCCGGTCAAGCCATCCTGGCAAATGGGTCCCAAGTCAGTGCTACATGGGTCCCAAGTCTCCACCTCTACGAGTTGAAAATCGAAAAAGGTCAGCTACCCAAAACTATTGGTGTGTCATCTTAGTTTTGCGTTGTTGCAGCTTGTTTTTTTGGTTGGTGGTTAGTGGGTCAAACAAGTTGCAAGAGGAAAACATGCACCCAGTTACCACCAAAGGAAAGCTCAGCAAAAGCCCCACGTAGTGTCAAGCATGCAATGGGGGGAACCAGTTTCCAACCTGGGCGAACAAAAATCAAACCGCCCAACGGTGAACGTTTGACGACTCGTCCAACAATCAACGAGTCGTTCTGCGCCTGGCGAAACACGGTACAGAAGGGTTGTCCGGAGCAAAATATTCCCTGTCTTTAATCGGGGTAGAGCAGGAAGACCAGGACAAGCAACGCTATACAAATGTTGTTGGGATCTCAAAGTTTCTATACTTGGCCAAGAAGGATTTCCACCACGGCCATTGTGGCAGAAAACTCTTTCGAGTGCCCCCGTACCCGGATGTTAGCGGAACGATTTGGGCACCTTCCGAGGTGCCCCACCGGCAAAAAAACATGTCACATAAAGGGCGTCAGTTGAAGCACACAAATGCAATGTTTAATGTGTCTGAGTCAATTGTGCACGCTAGGAAAGGAGGCCTTGAAACCTTTGATCAATTTTTTTGGAGGCCTTGGTACCCTGAACATCGGATATTGATTCATATTTAAAAATCCAAATCGTTATTTTGATATTGATTCGCATCGATTCTATCCTATAATTGTTTAACTATATATATACATGTAATTGTATTGTTTTGATTGATTTGGATATTGATTTGGGATGTTGACGGTTGCTTCTGCAATTATGTGGCTCAAAGTGCCTCATATAGCTACGCACTCTTGACAAAAAGGGGTCTGTCCTCTGTCCTTTTTGACAAAACAGGGATGTCAAATAGGGGTGGGAACAGGCGCAATGCCAAGCCTCAAGTTGATGAGGGGTTGCCGGTGAAGCTACTCAACCAGCAAATCTAGAATCTCAAACACATGGGGCCATATGAACAAAGTTGAACAAATATCCAAATCTCAGGCATGCAACCCTAAGGGATTGGTGACAGCTCTGCCCTTGACAGAAGGGCTTGTAGAGCTCGAACATACAGGTGAAATACGTTGCCAATGCCTTAGGAAGGCACGATTCCAAATCTTGCTGGAAGACCCGTCATTAAATGACTCAGTTTTTTTAGTGCTGTGTGGGTAGAATTTAATAATTGAGCGGTTGGGCGTATTGCCGTACCACATGAGAAAGCTGGCAAACTCCAATTTTCACAATGTGTTTCCAAACTCAGTTGCTATGACTTTTTGAAGCTCAAAGACGTGATCCAGCTGATCAAAACAAAAACAACGAGACCGACCAGGAAGAAGAGGAAAAACATGCGGATGAACGGCCTAAAAAAGTAATATAAAGGAGACCAACCTAGACACTGAAGGGTATCCTAAATGCTTTGGAACACCAAAAGGTGAGACGAGTGCTAGTAGCCCGGATACCTTGGCAAAAGGTAACGCTTCGGAGAATGATAAGCAAACCCTCTTGACAAAAGAGGGTCCCATGCCTAGCTTCCTGGGCAGAAGGACAGGGCAATTTGGCTCTAGCCCACAAGAAAAGTTTCGACAAAGAAGATACAAAAAAGGCTGAACTGAAAGAACTGTTTTGCAGTATGAAGAAGCCAGCGTGTAAAAAAACATTGAAGATAATGAATAAACAAAGTTCCTTGACCAAAGGATCAGGAATTGTGAAAAATAATGAGCATGAAAAGGGTGCAAAATCAGTTGTTTTTGGTGAGCACCTTGACAGAAGAAAACTATGGACAACGCTTGCAGTGACAACTACAAAAAACACCAATGCCAAGGGTGGCAAAATCAACTGGCCTTGATAGTGCAAACAACACATGTAGTCACCCAAGAAATTTCTAAATCATACAATATAAAACCGAAACTACAGAAGGAACACATCAGCAAACAAAAGGCTATTGATTTCAGGGATCACTTGTACAAGACCTGGTAGGTTGATCTCTTAGATGGTCTTCAGCAGGTCGTTCGTTGGCACGTGACCATATAGCTGCTCATCCCGGTCCTGTGCCACTAGGTGCAATCGCAGAATCAATCCGATGGCTATTTGCAAATTCCGCAAAAAGACTACAAGGAACTTCTTTGGAAGACGAAGTAAGAAGGCAAAACGCTCACTTGCAGCTTCTTGGAAGATGAAGTAAGGGCAAAAACTGAATTCCCGTCCACTCTCACAACTCAGGTCGTCATCTATGTTGAACTTGGTACACTTCTCGAATGGCTGCTGAAGAAGGCGATTTCTGGCACACATCTCTAAGCAATCAATCACTGCTGAACAAGGTGAGTCCATAGCTTCTTTTCGAGCTCGGCCGGCTGAAAGCGAATGCCGTTGCAGGAACAACGCAAGAGAGCTCTAAAGGCTGCATGGGACTCAGGACTGCAAGTGGAAGTCAAAGAGAACTTCCAAACTCGGCCTGTCATGGGTTGTTGAAACTTGGATTGGCAGCAGCTCACCTCCAAGTCCATCTAGTCTGCGGTCAAAGCATTCAAGTAGTCATAGGCCCGAGTTGGCTCGGGTCCAATAAGCTTGTGCGGCCTGCTTCAAACAACGAAGGAGAATCACGGTGTCCCATGGGTGAGGGGGGAAGTGCTTTCTGACGGGAGGAGCTTGTTGCGGTAGGCATCGCAATTCCCCTTTATGGTTCGTTTGGATTCTTCGGAGGAAAGGAGAAAAGCCAAAGACTGTGAGTTCATCAACTGCGCAACATCCTGACTTCGGTACAGAGTGAACCGAAGCAGGTCCTTCAGCAGAGCTTCAGAAGACCGTTGGGATCCCTGAGCAGCTGCAGAGGCATCGGAGCGGCGGCGAGTTTGCGGTGGCTCAGCAGGGACACCGTTGCCCGCTTGGCGCTCGAGGTCCAGCAGGAAGGCGGAAGCGGCTGGTGCTTCGGCCATGTTGAGACACAAGGATGGGTAATGACATTCCCAAGAAGCAACGTTAATAGACAAAACAGTGATGGTGTCAGCATTAGAGACCGCCAAATTCTTACGTGTTGGTTTGCCATCAGCAGGTGATGAGGGCCCGCTTCCTGACTCAGAAGTTTGCACGTCTGCCACTTGGGGTCTACAGTTCAAAGTAGCAGAGAGATAATTTTCGGTCTTGAGTGTTCCGTGCAGAACAGCGTCATCATGATTATGGCCATTCGCGCGAATGTAATCAGGAGGTTTGCGACAAAGAATAACTGCGTCGAACTGGTCTCGCTTGTTGTGGGCAATGGCAATTTGCTTTGTTGGAGATTGTTCACCAAATGTCTGCAAATCAAAGTCAGGGGAGTACACTGTGATACAGCACATCGAGACTCGGAGCAAAAGGCCGAGACGCAGAGCTCATCTCTAAATGTCCCCAGTTTGGCCATATTTGTAAGCTAGTCCTAGTCCTGGTATGCCCTGATCACTGGATAGAAACTTGCCTGCTGAGCAGGCTGTCGGGTGCCCCCATGAAACAACCCAATCAGCCGTGGCGCGTGATCCAACTTAGCCAGGGGGGCTTCTGTATCACGTCACAGCTGGTCCCACGTTCCTTTCAGGTGGAAGAACATGCGTATAAAGAGGTGTGTGATAGGACAGGTTGTCAGTCAAAGCATAGCGTGGACGCATGGCCCAACCTGAGAAACGGCAAAACGAAAGGAGGTGGCTTTCTGTGGGCCCTGGAGCCATGTGGAGCTGACCACTTGCCGGTTGCCCTGCAGGAGAAGAAAAATGAAAAGTGTAGGCGGCCAATCGCCACGTAGGTTAAGGAAAAGGAGACTCCATCAGTGAACAGCCTAGAACTGTCGAACCACTCATGAGAGACGATATCGAGTCGCTTGCAATCTGAGAGCAAAAACCAGAATTCAAGTGTACACAAAGTCACGCAGCAAAAAAAGGTGAGCTTCGAAGAGTGCTTCGAAGAATGCAGATGAGAACCATCGAACCGATAGAATAACATCTCTGTACCTGATGTCCATCTCAAGAACAGCGGTCTGCTGAAGATTCACTCGTGAGAGACGAAGTCTGTATTCCTAGAGAACATCAAAGAGCACGTGGGAAATGACGAGTTCACTGCCCATGCGCCGCCTGGATGGTGGGCAAATCCTCCTATATGGTCTGCCCCTTCCGAGACATCTCCACCCAAAGCACTTTGTCTTTCAAGGAGGTAGAAGCAGAGATGTAGAACCCAGCAAGGCACAAAAGGCATCTGTAACCAATCCTCCCACAACCAACTCAAAGACCCATGGACGGCCTTCGCGCACGGCCAGATGGTCAAGGTCCATCTCCTGCAACTATGCCAGAGGGTCACCCAAGGCACTAATCTTCAAGAACGGGAGGTCCAAGGCAGCAGTGACAAGGGTGATAAACAAATAGAGCTTGCGACCCCCCACAAATTGGTCATGGAAAATCCCTTGGACCCGATCTTCCTGACTCACAGTCGGGCGTGAATAATCCCATAACTTGATCGCATCTACCATTCGCTGTTTCAGCTTGGGCTCATGCACAAAAAAGACCAAAGCGGCTCCACACTGCAAATGTTCAACCTGGTTTTGCTGATACAAGGTGAAGCGAAGAAGCCGTTCACAAGTATCTTCTCTGTGTAGGGGCATACGAGTGAACTTGGCTTCGCGGCCGGGCGCTGAGGATGCACCGCCACCGTTTTGGCACAAATCCTCTGCCCTTTTCACTAGATCCAAGCCAGATGGCATGGCTCGGTTGGAACAAGGGTGGACAACTTACAAGGGACAAGGGTCAAGGGCTAAGCGGCTTCTCGAGCTCAGAATCCGGAACGTAAGCTTCCAAACCAACAGGCAAGCCAAAACGAGATCTCCATTCAGCGCATGTGGTTGAATTCTTTCCTCTGGCTTGAGCGGTAAACATGGGAGTGCCACAATGCCGACAAGT